CTATAGATTTAAATTATATCTTTAAAATTTTAAGATAAAAGATGTTTAAATGGAGAAAATGAAACCATAAAAGTACTAAAAAAAAAAATCACAAAAGAAAATTTTAAGTAATCTCAATGTGGGAAATGCTTTTCTATGTGACACAAATACTGAAAGCCATTTAAAAAAGTGATAAATCTAACAAAATTAAAATTTTCTTCATGACAAAAGAAAAGCACAATCAGATGAACAGCAAACTAGGATAAAAATATTTGCAACTAACATCACAGGAAAAGTGCTAATTTCCTTAAAATGTTAGGTTTACTTGTTAGAACACTACTTTCTTAAACCAAAGAGTTCTCTGGTCAAATACATTTGGCAAACACTGTGTACAGAAAATGCCATTTGGAGTTTTACAACATACATTAAGCCACTATAGGTTCTGAAGTCTTATAGTTAAGCATTTCCCAACCTCAGAAGAATACTAAATCCTTTTTTGATAGGCCATCTATTAACATCCTGCAGAACACATTTTGGGAAATATTCACCTAATAATTTGTATTCTCAGGGAAATTCATAATTCTGAGTTAACATATTTATTAAAGAGGAAACCATACATATTTATATCCTGAATATATTTACATCTACTTGTGGGGATTACTTACTTGTTATGCAAGTTTCAAAACTACAATTTTGCCAGAGTTCCAATCTCGTCCTTCACTACCACAAGGCAAGTTCCAATACCAAAATTCAAAGATCAGAGATGAAGACAACAAAAATCTACAAGGTAGGATTCTTAAAGGTTACCTTTTATATCATAATTCAATACTCAAAGTTACCTTCCTAAACAGTGCCTGTCAAAGTAGGTAAAATATATTTAAGCAAATATTGAGGCAAAGAACGAGCTTCCTGTAGACACACAGGATCACACTGCACTGCAAAATACCTTCTTATTGCAATAAAAAAAGTCAAAGTAAATTACTGCCAGATTGAACAACACTGTGTTTTAATTAAACAAGCCCATGCCTTAGTTAATGTTTTCAGATTCATTATCTCACCAAATCCTCACTACAAAATACTTGAAGGTAGAAAGGGTAGATATTACTATCCCCATTTCACAAATGAGAGAACTGAAGTTTTAATGATTTTAAGTAGACAAACTTAAATGCAGAAATCCAAGTCCACTAACTCCTCTACATCACGGGTATAGATAAGTATCAACAATTGATGCTATAAAACTTAGAATTACACATTATTCATTTGTACAAGGCAGCATTTTAATTTCAAATATCATATATAAAATACCTGAAGGTTATGCTCAAAGCAGGTCAAGGTATGATTAAATAGATTGAGGAAATATACTGTACTGTTTGATAATTCTTCACTGTTGTTCGTTAAACAATCTGTCAAAAACCCGAAAAGTATATTAATATATCTCAAACAACAATTATACATTGTCATTTATTTTTCAAGTGATCATCTTCTGTTTCACACAAGCATGAAGTATTCCACATAAGAAAATTTCCCAAATACATAAAGCTTACCTCTTTTAGTTTCTAAAAGATTTTTTTAAAAAACCATAACCATTTTCATGAAAATCTTAAAATAATCACATACTCTCCTCTTTTTATAAAAACAATATACCAAATAAAATTTAAATAGACTTTTGATGGCACAAGGTCGTAATCATGAACATCAGCTATCAAATGCTGCCTTCATAGTGCTAGTTAGGCACAAGACTGTTTACTCTGCACTAATCTTACCCAAATTCATATGCCTTTTTATACAAATTTAGTAGTTCTGTGTCTCTTCCAACTTCACTAATAGATTATTGAACCTAACAGAGTAACCTTTTTTTTTTTTTTTTTTTTTTTTTTTTTTTTTTTTTTTTTTTT